CTATTATACACAAAACAATAACAATTAAGATGATTTAGCAATCAACCTTCCCATGCCTCCTACATAAATTGTGTGTGCTCACAAAAACAAAATGGCCACAATTAAACAGAACAAAGTTTTCAGCTTTCCAGCAGCAAGGCAACACAAATATACTGTCGAAGGGTGTGTTCAAAAGCATTACAACCTCTATAATTAATATTGAGAAGCCAGCTATGTGTGCAAAGTTGTAGAAACAATCTTATGCATTAGCAGTTAATCCAGTTTTAGTTACACTTTCTAAAACAATCGTAAGATTTGCGGCTGCAATTAAGAAATAGCGTTTCAAAGAATTCTTTTATAAAGACGTGGAGGTAATAAATTTTACTGTCATCCTAGTATTTTAAGTAAAGGAGGCAGCATTTGCTTGAAGGGAAAAACTTGAATATACCCATAAAAACACAGATGGTTGGAAGTAGGCAGCTGCCTCTAAGCCAAAAGTGTCTGGAATATCAGTCTATTAGTAAGGGGATTGATGAACTCATTTGTGTAAAAGAATCTTAACTAGATTGACAGCTTTTGGATATAATTGTCTTTTAAAGTAGGGAGAAGATTGACAAACCAGGCCTTAGACTTATACGATATAGCCACAAAATTTGGTGCTTGTGGAGAATTAAAATTGGCAGATTGGTGATTCAAAATAAAACTGCCAATATTATAACTGTCAATAATAATTGCAATGAACGGTTTCCATCATGAGCATGTGATACTGAAAGAATGTGCCAAAATGGCCTACTTAAAAAAATTTTTTTAGTCAAGATTGTGGGCAAGGAGCAGCTTCAAGAAGAGCTGAGAATGCTTTAAAAAGACAATATAGTAAATCGCCAAATTAAGAGACTACCAATATTATATTTAGGCAATTTTGATGTAAATCTGCTGAAGTTTTAGACACTGATAGCTCTGACAATAAAATTATTGGTATAACTACCTTATCTCTAATTTCAACCATCGCTGTAGCTTTTATCGTATTGGGTGTTGTAATAATTATCTGCTTCAGAAAAAGAATTTTAGTAAGAGCTTTTTATTATTGTGATACTGAAAGAATATGCCAAAATGGCCTACTTAAAAAATTGTTTTTAGTCAAGATTGTGGGCAAGGAGCAGCTTCAAGAAGAGCTGAGAATGCTTTAAAAAGATAATATAGTAAATCGCCAAATTAAGAGACCACCAATATTATATTTAGGCAATTTTGATGTAAATCTGCTGAAGTTTTAGACACTGATAGCTCTGACAATAAAATTATTGGTATAACTACATTATCTCTAATTTCAACCATCGCTGTAGCTTTTATCGTATTGGGTGTTGTAATAATTATCTGCTTTAGAAAAAGAATTTTAGTAAGAGCTTTTTATTATTGTGATACTGAAAGAATATGCCAAAATGGCCTACTTAAAAAATTGTTTTTAGTCAAGATTGTGGGCAAGGAGCAGCTTCAAGAAGAGCTGAGAATGCTTTAAAAAGATAATATAGTAAATCGCCAAATTAAGAGACTACCAATATTATATTTAGGCAATTTTGATGTAAATCTGCTGAAGTTTTAGACACTGATAGCTCTGACAATAAAATTATTGGTATAACTACATTATCTCTAATTTCAACCATCGCTGTAGCTTTTATCGTATTGGGTGTTGTAATAATTATCTGCTTCAGAAAAAGAATTTTAGTAAGAGCTTTTTATTATTGTGATACTGAAAGAATATGCCAAAATGGCCTACTTTAAAAAATGTTTTTAGTCAAGATTGTGGGCAAGGAGCAGCTTCAATAAGAGCTGAGAATGCTTTAAAAAGATAATATAGTAAATCGCCAAATTAAGAGACCACCAATATTATATTTAGGCAATTTTGATGTAAATCTGCTGAAGTTTTAGACACTGATAGCTCTGACAATAAAATTATTGGTATAACTACCTTATCTCTAATTTCAACCATCGCTGTAGCTTTTATTGTATTGGGTGTTGTAATAATTATCTGCTTTAGAAAAAGAATTTTAGTAAGAGCTTTTTATTATTGTATCATGTTTCCATTTTATTATTGTCATTATAGGCTTACGTTCAAGGTATGTAACCTATTATGTGAGAGTATATCACTGTGATGAGATTAACATTAGCTACCTATTTTATTTATTAGGCAAACATAGAAGAGGACAGCCTGAGTCTGGTAGGATACATAATTTGACAGGGATGGAAAAAGAGGGATTCATTGTGGGTAACAGTTTAATGATGAACCCAAATGCTTTATAGCAAGATCGGTTTTACACAGCCAAATTTTTCAGCCATACAGTATTATGTTGAAGCTAAGTAACCCTTCAATAGATGATGTTGTACATAGTAAAATAAAAATATGTTAACTGTAGGCAAGGATATATTTGCGGCTGCAATTATTCATAATTATTTCTCTTGAGTAGCAATTGCCATAGCAACCAGATGCTATTACAATTGAAAACAGGGCAGTATTGAAGCAAAGCACCCTGCTGCAGTGTTTTTGAGCTGCTGTTCTTCTTGTGTTACTAACTCTTGGTTTCTTTAGAACTGCTTTAACCAGTACTTTCCAGAACTACTGTCTCATCACATCTTGGAACACTGCATCCATTCCAGTTAGTGTTTATTGATTTGAATATGATTTAATTCACCAGCAAGTGGAGCAGCTACAATTTGCAGCAAAGAGCTCGAAGCTAACAGATAGAGAATGAGTTGCTATTCGTGAATGGCTCCACTAAAAATAGATAAATAGCTAAACACTAAACACGTGGTCTTATTGTCATGGCAATGCCCTAACAGTTTCCATGGTTTTTCATTTTTATTACTGCAAATAATTGCAGCAGCAAATATATCCCATAACATTGTCTGCATTTGCTGTTGATGTCCAACATGTCTGCCAATTTGATGATCTAATAGTAATAATAATAATAATCTTTTTATTAGTGATTATTTGCATATTTTGTGTGAACAGACTGGGCAAATAACTTTACAATTTCATTTTTTAGATGGCAGGTTTGCCTTCTCAACCTAAAAGGGCACAAAGATCAGGATCAGATACTTACGATACAACTGATGCTGACGCTACAAAGAAAAATGACTACCACTTGTGTGCTTTTGCATGCTTATTTTTGACAGTGATTGACTTAAGATCGTTAAAATTGGTACTTTCATTCTGAGAAAAAAGTATTGTATTAGATTTCAGGAAAGACATGAAAGAGATACTTTGACTAATATAAATGAAGTTTTGCAGTCTGATTTTGTAACTTTCGAAGAACCAAGCATCTCAGTGGAAAACTTCAAGAGGAAAATTCAATTTTGTAATGGGCAAACCAGCACAGCCACCAAGATAGTTCACGTATATAATTTATTATTAATTCTATCTCCTATGACCAACCACATGATAACATGCAAAATGAAAGCAGCAATCTTAACTTAAAAGCTAGCATAGGAGCCTCTGAAAGATAGCGTTCTTTGACTTCTTTGTTCGTTCATCTACAGTCAGACTAAGCTTCAAGCTAGAGAGAGATATTTTAGAGAATCAAAAACTATTATTGCCTACCAGTTTCTCATAAGCCCAATGCAGTGGGGGAGAATCATTGCACCAGCAGCTATCATCCTACTACTAGTCCTGACTGTTATGCAGTGCGACATCAACATTAGTTAACACCTCAGACACCCATACAAATTATTCATTATGTATGTATACAAACACTTATCAATCCATCAAGAATAATAGTTCATAGCAAATCTCTCTTTCTCTCCTTTTGAGCTTGAGCCCATATTCAGAACTTTTAGCTATTGCCCATAATAATGCAAACGCGTCCTCTTAACACGTCCCAATGAGCGCCTGTGCCAAGGCAGCCCTCCCAATTCATAGTTCATTTTGCCAGTTACTACCAAATGGCTCAGTGGCAGCATCAGTGTTGGCAGCATCCTCCCACTGGCCAAAGAGGAGTGTCCCAGTTTAGCCTAACATCCTCAAAGGAGACAGAAAGAGCCAGGCTAGGCCCAGGAGACAGTCTTCAGCTCCTTTACTCCAAAAAGGTGTGTGGGAACACGGAACGGCTGATAAAATACTCTGCCAGACTCCTATGGGCCATGTCCCTGACAACCTTCTTTGGCTACTTTGGAGTTGACACTGTAGGGCACATCCTCCCAACCGGCAAGGGATGTTTCTTTGGAAAATGGGTTATAGAACCAGTATGTTGCCTTAATTAATTCTTCAAATTAAACTTCTTTGTATCCTGCACTATATAGTTGTCTTATCATCAACTTGTGAAGATTCATAAATGTTACCGAAAATCGTTCTAAGTTCTATGGTTGGACAGATTGGATGCTGATAAAAATGGGCCAGGGAAAGTCTTACTTTATCACCTCATACAGATTTGTAATCATATTCATAGTGATGTTAACATTCTTGTCAAAATGTCAACTACAAGGAATCCTGATTGGACCCACTTCTGGTTTTAAAGACACTAGGTTTCGATAAAATTATGAACAAACCTGCAAATGTTAGTTGAAATGAATAACCACGAGTTGAAAATTGATTGCGACCTCTAGCCAACGACATTTAGTTTAGAAAAAATCGCTGCACATCTTTGTTTAAGGTACATTAGTGAGCAAAGCTCACTTTCTTTCTACTGGAAGAGCAAATATAGCAAATGCCATGAAGTAAGAGGCTATTGATGGGGGAACAGTACTGCTACTATGTGATAATGATCTAGCAAAGAAATTTATTAAAGTTGGTTCTTTAGATGAAAGAGAACATGACTCTTCGTGTCCAATATTTTACTCACATTATTAGTTACATTGAGTGTACATTCTACTAATGGTCTATCACTAAATGACCTGTATCCATGTGGTACAGAAAATGAGGACACAATGCAGTCTCCCTGAAGCATATCATTACCTAAAGCAATTTACTGGCTGCCCCTCTGCTTTATGAACTTAAAAATTTGCCAAACTTCACATCTTTTCAACATAAAATATTGATGATGACTTCAAAATTGTCATCAGTACAGCCCAGGAAATATAAAAATAAAATTTCTTGATTCTTTAACTTTGGCCAATAAATCATTAATTATATGGTACTCTCATTACCGGTTATATTGAGTGTACATTCTACTAATGGACTATAGCTCACTGACTTGTATCCATATGGTATAGCAAATGGGGTTTCCCGAAGCATCAATACCTAAAGCAATTCACTAGCTGTCCCTCCGTTAGGGCCTTAAATGAAGATGCATATGGCTTGGTATTTCCATTAAAAAAGCAAATGGTACAATATAAAATTTGTTTCTGAAAATATGAATAGAGAATTTACTATAATGGGCAAAAGGGCTACCAATTTATTAGTTTTGCAGCGCACAAAATGTGTTATCACGAGCTTTCTCACTAGTTATGCTGACTTTTCATTAAATGGCTACCTGCTCCTCTGCATTAAGTGTCTAATTGGCCAACAGTGCATCATTTTTGATAAAATACTCAGGAAAGGCAAAAACCTTAAACATTTAATAAGGAATCTGCAGTACTAGAGAACCAACTTCAAACCTACATGTATTTGTGCAATTGCTTGGAATCATACACTGAAATAGAAATCACACAGTGCCTGACCTGAAGTTAAATTAACTGAGACATGTGGCTTGGAACACCTAAGTTGAGACTTGAACCAGTGAATGAGACAATTCACAGAAAAAACAAGGCTTTTGCAGTGAACTAGAAATGAATACGTGAAAATTGTCTATATAGTTTACTGTTGGCAAAGCCATAATTTTGTGTGGAGATTGTATCCATTGGATCCTGCAGAGATGCAGCTGAAATTATTGTAAAAGCTCAAAGCAGATTGTGCCTTGAGTTAGTTTTCTCAACAAAATATCAGCGACTGTACTAAGGCAACCTCTCTCAATTCACGGCCCATTTCTCCATTCATCACTACATAGATCAGTGACCTCTCAGTGGTTTGGCAGCATTCTCCCACTGGCCAAAGAGGAGTGAGCTATTTAAGCTCTCACACGGGTTCCTCAGTATTAGTATCTTGTCTGGTTCTGCAGTTCTGCACAAGTCTCTCAGTGCCCCAGTTTAGCCTAACATCCTCAAAGGAGCCAGAAAGAGCCAGGCTAGGTTCAGGAGATAGCTTTTAGCTCCTTTACTGTGTGGGAACATGACACAGCTGACAGTTACTCTGCCACACTTCTATGTGTCATGTAATGCGCATTAATGGTGAAGTGCTCCTTTATCTTATTAATAAAAGTCTTAAAAAATTTTGGCTAACATGATTTATTATGTGAACAGGGTTATAATGTTATCAATGGCATCCAATCAACCACTCTGTAGCCTCTGACTCCCTGCAGGCAATTTTGGGACAATGCATGTGCATACATTCCCTATGCATCGTAACAATACCCATTATCATTATTATGGCCTCGTTAGTCTATGGAAAAAGTGTAACACGCATTCAGGACATCAAGAACATATAGCATTCCCGTAACCTACAAAATGTGCACAAACATACAAATGACAGTATCAGTTGCAGCAGCATGTTGTGAAATGATACCCAGCAGTAATCACAATATATGTAGGCATTTAAAATGAAGCCTCCTTTAGCTGATTTTGCCAAGTGAGAAGTATTAAATTTCATCAGAATCAGGTACAATAAGATACAGACTTTTAAACAATGCTCAATCATAAACTCTCAAAAACTGAAGATAACATTAAAACATGGCTGCATTGCTTTCTGGCATTCGTGGCAGCTAAAGTGAACTCCAGAGAGACTAGGGACCTCAAAGCCTATGGGCAAATAATCCTAATGCTGGCCAGGAAACATGGTGGAATGGGTTGGACAGCTTATGACACACTCTTCAGCCGACTGGTGGGGTAGGCCATAACCTCTCATAGATGGAGTGGAACATTCTTTATGTTAACAACCAACATCTTTTAGGCTCTGCTCTCTATGTCAATTCCATGACAGGAAGACTGTGATTTGGCTCCTCCAGCCATGTTGAATGAGCAACGCCCTCGCTCCTACAAAATGAATGAGGAGATATGCCACAGCCCACAGGTCCAACAGGCCAGGAAGACTGGCTGTTTCTCCATTAAAGAGGGATGTCCCCAAAGGCCAATCATTCATAAAAAAGACAATAGAAAAGAAGGATGTGGAAGTTGTCTTTTAATTGGCAGAAATGGTGACTTCCTTACAATGAGATTACTTTGGTGCCTTTATAACTCCTTTGGAATACGGAAATGTCATGAAACAAGAGTCAATTGATTGGGGAACAGTACTGCTACTATGTGATGATGATCTAGCAAAGATGTGTACAACCATTGGTGACAAGCTTTTTGTTAAAAAATTTATTAAAGTTAGTTCTTTAGATGAAAGAGAACACAACTCTTTTTGTATTTATGATATTTTAATTTTAAATGATGTACTAATTGTATGGTACTCACATTTTCAGTTATATTGAGTGTACATTCTACTAATGGACTACAGCTCACTGACTTGTATCCATATGGTACAGCAAATGAGGGCACAATCCAGTCTCCCTGAAGCATATCATTACCTAAAGCAATTCACTGGCTGTCCCTCTACATTATGAACTAATAAATTTGCCAAACTTCACGTCTTTTCTACATAAAATACTTGTGATGACTTCAAAATCGTGTCATGGTACAGCCCAAAAATATGAAACTGAAAGTTTTTCTGATACTTTAACTTTGACTGATTAATTGTAAGCAATCTCGTTACTATATTTTGTATAGAGTGTACATACTACAAATGGTGTATCACTCAATGATTTGTATCCATATGGTATAGCAAATGGGGTCTCCCTGAAGCATCAATACTTAAAACAATTCACTAGCTGTCCCTCTGTTAGGCCCAGTAAATGAAGTAAAGTAAACAAGTAAACAAATGTGTGGCCAGCTCTCTCTGCCAATAAGAAGACTCCACAGTTAATCAATGAATCTTAGAACAAATCATTTTAATACAACACTTCTTCAGTTTTGTGTTGCAATACTTGCATTTATAAGCATGGCTTCTCTCTGCATTGTGTAATTTTGGAAGGTCTTGTACCATCCCTCCCTATGCAATGATACCTCCAGTTGACAGAGTGCAGGCTCTTTCTTAATCTCCAGAAATCAGAGATTATCATCAACTACTCTGATGTAATTCCAGCCTCCCTCTCAGTAGTGGGCTTTCGTTCATTTATTTATTATCGTCATTTGGATTAAATGTAGATCACACCAAATAAAGTCATTGATGGCACTAATGCCATCAGGACAATAGAAAGAGAGATTAACCACACACCAAAACCCCACAACAACTATGTGGGGTGGCTAGTGAATGATTGAGTCGTCATTCTCTCAGAAAGATAATGAAACAAGGAGATCAGCTGACATGGGACTACGGATTCAGGTCATGGTCATTCCGTGGTTAAAACAAGTCTCAAGGTATAGTTCTTAATAGTCTATTGTAATTTATATTGCCATACTTTCCCATTAGAATAACCAAGGCAAAGGCATGTGAGCTCCCAATTGGTAAAAGCCTTAAGTATAAGGACATTTCAAATATCTTATCATAAAGCATTAGACACTACACACAATGACCCCTCTGCTTGAGTATGACGGAAAGTTTCTGGTCATCCAAGCACCTTCACAGTTAGCATCCATCCCTGACAGGCCAGAACTTTTAGATTCTATGTTGCAGAGATGCTAAGAGAAAAACATTCGAGCAATGAGGTCAAAGGAATGTTCCTATGGTTACTTCCAGTCATAGATAGTCTAATACTGTGCAAAACTACCTGTAGGTTCCAGCATGGATAGTAGAGGATAGTCTAGTGTGATCAGACTAAAATCTATGGTTCATGTTCGATCCATCCGAGATTCCATTTGGCTATAACTAGATCTACTTGTTGGTGGGATTTATTTCAGTGTAAGTCCCTTACATAACATAACTTTATATTAAATAAATGAAGAAACTCCAAAGATTGACAGAGTAAGTCAAATCCTATTATCATTAATTACCCACAGCAATCA